GACAAGGCTGTGGGCGAGGATGTGGCCTACAGTGATACGTCGAAGGGTACTATTTCGGTGCCTGTTGACGATTGGTGCGAGAAGCCCTGTCCCGAAGAAGATATAGAGATCGACTGTGTGAGAGAGCCAGAACATTACTGCGTGGGATGTGCGGCTGCATTTGCCCATTTAGATGTCTCCACCTTCGATCACCCTTGTGATATTTGCTCTGCCCCGGCTGGGTGTGCCGGCCTGAGAGCGGATGGGCCACTCATGACTGATGAGGAGTTGGAGAGAGCCAGCTTGAAGCTCCCGGCCGAATCACAGGCTAGAGTTCCCGGCACGTCTAAGCCGAAAGGGAAAGAGCTTATTAAGCGAGAGGAGTGGCCCCCAGCTGCTTGAGAGCATGTAGATGGTTTCGAAGGGGATGATATATGCCAAGACCCCTTACGGTTTGCGGTGTCAGAGTTTCTGGACGAGACGGTTAAGCTACCAGATATATGTGAGAGCCCTACGGAAGCGCAGCAACCAGTTGCTGACCCATGTGAGGAGTTCAAGGACCTCTTCGTTCTACGTCCCGGACGTTGTACTCAAGCTGAGCACTCGGTCGGGACTGGGACGACTCGTCCAATTTGTGAGAGAATAAGGCCTATTCCTCACAAGTACCGTGATGAGATCTCGGCCCTATTGAGGGAGATGGAGGAGCTTGGGGTCATTAGAAGGAGTACATCGGCATGGAGGTTCCCGTGCGTCTTCGTCCCGAAGAAGAATGGTAAAGTCCGGATGTGTATTGACTATAGGAACCTCAATAAGGCATGCCATACTGAGGCGTACCCTGTGCCCCGGCCAAACGACGTGCAAGAGCACCTGGCTGGTGCACGAGTGTTTTCGACTCTCGATTTGAGAAGTGGTTACTGGCAGATCCCGGTTCGCAAGGAGGACCAACGGAAGACCGCCTTCTGCCCCGGGCCAGGCTTCCCATTGTTTGAGTGGGTGATGATGCCTTTTGGTTTGGCAAGTGCCCCGGCTAGTAGCCGGCGGCTACCTTCCAGCGATTTATGGATGCTATTCTGGGACATCTCCCTTTTGTGAGGGTCTACCTTGATGACGTCCTGATCTTTAGTAGATCTGATGGAGAGCATTTGGAGCATTTGAGGATCGTCTTTGAGCTCTTACGTGTGGCTGGTATGACGCTGGCCGCTGAGAAGTGCGAGTTTATGCAGGATCGAGTGACCTATTTGGGTCACATGTTCAATAGTACTGGGATGAGTCCCGACTTGGGTAAGGCCGAGGTTATCCTACGGTGGCCTCTACCTCGGACTGCTCCCGCCCTTCGGTCTTTCTTAGGGCTGGCAGGGTACTATAGGAATTTCGTCCCGCACTTTGCGGATAGGTCTCGGTGTCCTTATGAAATTGTGAACCACTGTACGAAGAACAAGGTTGTGGAACTCGGAAATTAGTGGGGCAAGGAGGAAGAGCTGGCCGTCAATGACCGGAAGCAGTGGATAGCCAGTCTCCCCTTGTTGGCCTACCCAGATTTCTCGAGACCGTTTCAGCTCATGACCGACGCCAGCGATGTAGCGATAGGGGCGGTGGTGGAGCAGGACGGAAGGCCTTTAGCCTTCTGCAGCCAGTCTCTGACCCCTACCCAGAAAGTCTGGCCGGTGTATGAGCGGGAAGCCTATGCTATCTTCAAGACACTGGAACGGTTCAGACCGTTGCTCTGGGGTTACCATTTGGAGTTGGTCGTCTTTTCGGATCACAAGCCTTTAGAATGGATACAGACGGCTACGACTGCGAAAGTGCAACGCTGGCTCATTAGTATGTCCCAGTTCAAGTTTAAAGTATTTTACGAGAAGGGTAAGCACAACGTCGTAGCTGATGCCTTGTCCCGAATTACTACGTCCGACGACAAAATGCCAGAGCCAGATCTTGGAGCATTCCAGCGTGAATTGTAAGGTATACCAGGCCTGATGACAGATAAGTTGTTGACTAAAGACAGGGAGGCCGACGTGTTGAAGGAGGACAATTCTGCCCCGGCTTGTGTTCTCATCCTTTGTGAGCAATAGTCAACAGCTGATTTGGTTCGTGAGCAAGAGTTGGATCCTGTTCTTCGGGTGGTGAGAGATAGGGTCCGGAGAGGAGGGCCCTTAGCGAAGGATGAGCTCAAGGATCTAGAGTATCGGCCTTATCGGAGAGTTTGGCTAACCTTACGGGTTCATGATTCTGGTCTGTTGGTGCGAAGAGTACAAATTAATGAAGAGGCTACTTCGAGGTATGTTCCAGTGGTCCCCGAGGGTCTCCGACGGCAAGCACTAGATCGGTTTCATGAGGAGGCGGGACACTTCCGAGTCGGAAGTTCCGACGAGAGCACATGGTGGCAAGGTTGAGACGTACAGCTTACTGGTCAGGTATGAGTAAGGACATTAGTGAGTTCTTACTGCATTGCGAAGGCTGTGCCCCCCATAAGAATGTCTTGCTACCCCACTTGCCCTATGTCCCGTATCCGGTTGGTTCGCCTTGGCATACAGTAGCTATCGATTTCCTTACGGTGGCTCCCAGCAGAAGCGGTGTATCTAAACTATTGGTAGTGGTGGACCACTTCACGAGGTGGGCCGAAGCTGTCCCCGTGGCGGGTGAGAACGCTGCGGAGGCACTGAAGGCCCTACTGTATCTCTTTTCGATTCATGGTCGCCCGGTTAGGATACTCTCAGACCAGGGGAGTGCGTTCGAGTCGCAGCTGTTCAAGGACGTATTGGCTCAACTAGGTATAGCTAAGTCTCGTACTTCGGTCTATCATCCCAATGCAAATGGTCATGTGGAGAGGTT